GATGTAGCAACATGCGAAATTTGCAAGAGGGTATCGCACTTCATAAAAAAATGTGGTCACCATTCTACATCACTCCATGGACAAAGGCACATGAAGCAAAAGATTTTTTTGGGATCACTTTCTGAAATTGCTTAGAAACCAGGCTCAACTCAGTAGCCAAGCCTACTTTCCCAGGCCTTTGCGTGACCTTATTCATTTTGGGTGGTTGCGGGTGGTTTTGGATGGTTTTGGGTGGTTTTGGATAGTTTTGGGTGGTTTTGGATGGTTTTGGGTGGTTCCATATTTTAGTAACTACCAACTAATATTATCACTCTTATATGGATTTTCCTTCCTTCGTGAAGCAGGTATTTTGCCTGGTTTCCTTTAAGTTAGCAATTTTCAGATACTCATTATCACTTTGGGATGGGGAGAGGCTTGTTTCCTCTAAGATATAAACGTATAAAGCACAGGTCTATATTAGAGCCCTTCCTTTTGCACACTTCCTTTGATAGGAACAAGTATCCAACACTTAACTCTCATGGTGTTAAGATCACTTGCCTTTACCATCTCTTAATGAGACCTACCCTAAGCAAGACCTGATTTAACAAACCTCCTGAGACAATATTTGCTAAGCTGAATGGGATACTCATTCATATTTCATTCATTCACTCATTCATATTTCCTCAAATAGCCACTTAGGAACTCATTTCAAATTTCAGCTAAAAGAAGGTGCACTTATTGGAAGAAGGGGAGAGGGCACTTCTTCAGAAACTTTTAACCTGTTCTGATTCTGCTAAAGTTGAAGCTTAAAAAGTTATAAATAATTAAAGTGGCAACAGGAACAGGTTATCCTTGTATACCCACTAGTTAAGAAAGTGAGGGAGGAGGGGTTTTCATCTTAGAGGGGCACTAGTTTCATTATGGCCTTGGGGGGTGGGGGTGCTTATTAGAAGATGGGCCCTTTTATGAGGAAATACAAAACAGGGCTTGACACTAACGGTAGCCAACAAACCACAGACTAGTAAAAATTTCATTTTGGCTTGTGGTATTCGATTCCCACTGGCCAGTTTGGCTAGCAAACAAACTGAAATTGTTGTATCATCTAAGTTGTCACTAGCCACCTGGCTAGTAAGTTGAAAAGTTAGTGTCAAGATCTGCAGTATTTGAAATTGCCATTGATGGACAATTATTCAACTCTAACACTTTATCGTTTAGAGGAGAGTCTGCTTCTTCCTGTTTCTTCACACCAGACTTCCCAGTATAAGGACTTTATGCTTTAATTGATGTCCCAAACTTTAAATAAGAACAGTGATAAAGATATCTCACTAGACTAGAGCCCTATTTATATCTTAGGAGATGATAATGTCTTGCTGCATAGACAAAGTCAACGTCAAAGATCCATTCTAGAGTAATTTTATTATGTTATCTACATCAACCCTCTCCATAGAAAGTACCCTATAATAGGCATTACAACACTTGTAAGAAGACAAGACACAAAGTTAACAACATGATTGTCCAGGATGGCTCGTCCAGATATATGTTTTACAGTTGGGGATGGCTTGTGAACTACACACTTCTTCACTGAACAATATCCTGAGTACTGAAGAGTGGCTCCAAGTATAGAGTCAAACATTGATCCCAGAAAGCCTCCTAAACAGCCAATCAAAATAACTGGCCATTGAGGCGGAACAGCTATAATTCTACGAATAGTCAACAATGTCAGTAAAGTTATAAAATAGGCAAGTCCAATCATTGTGCCTCCAAGAATGCTTGCTATTGTTCCTGTAATTGTGATGCCTCCATTTGTACCAACAGGGACTTTTGAAAATGTTGTTATGAGCACAGGAACATGGGAACTTATCACTGTTCCTATTTCAGAAGCCCACGTGTCACCACAGCTACAAGCAAATGATCCAAGCACAGCCACCGAAAGAACTGATGCAGTGAAATCTTTTGCATAATCAATTGCATGTTCGCCAATACCAACATCGATCATGTAAAATAGAGCTAGTAATGTTGGTATGCCTCCATTACAAAAGACTTGAATCCAATTTCTTTGGCCTCCTGTAAAACATGATGGATAAAACTGAATCTAATTGACAGAATAGTAAACAATCCTAAGGAGTTATTTCAATCGTAGGAAAAATACTGCTTGGGAAATTGCCACGGTTAGCTAGAAATGTTGACAACAATCGTACTGAATATTTGCTTATCTCTCAATGGAGTTATCGCGTTCAAACATTTTGAGAGGTCATTTAGCAATCAGGATCATTTTTATCAACAGATAACATTACAATGCCGGGAACTGCACTCCAAAAATGCCTTGTAGTTAATTAGTTTAGCTACTTCCTCTTTACGTGATTCCATCTTGGAACAGGTACCAATTTTAAAGTTCGGTGGCATATTGCTGAAAATTACATCGACCTCTAGGTTAAGGGTGGCCAAGCAGCAGAATTTCTCTAGAGTGACAAAACTTAAATGAGCACCGTATGGATATCTAGATCAACGGTTCCCCAATCAAAACTTGGTACTCTTTGTTTACATAAATAAAGATCAAACGATCACAATAAAAGCTAGCACAAATCCAACTGAATTTTCTCTTAAAAAAGAAAGTTAACATTTTGAAAGCAAACCTTTTTTGAAATCGTCTTCGATTTTTTCCTTAATGTCCGATTTAAACCTCGTCAGTTTAGAACTCGTTAGGAAAAAGGTTATGCAAGAGGCGAAGAAACATAAGTTACTCAAAGTCAATATAAACCCAACTATAACAGCAGCGATGGCACCAGTTAAATCAAGTGATTGTTTCTTCAGACCGTTTCTTACAATCACCAGACACGAAAATACAGCGAAGGCAGCTCTTGCTAGAAAGTAATGAATAACCATTTCGACCGGCAGGTTCCTCCCAATCAGATCCAAAGTCCTCCAGAGAACATTTCAACACCTCCTCTTGTACTCTTTGTACTCTTCTCGAGTTTTTTCGAATATCTCGCCTTAGTTTCCTCGCGACTTTTTTCAAAATGGCGGCGTACTGACCGTTGTTGTTGAAGTAGTAGACAAAAGCTACACAAAAGGCATGCAACGATAACCGAGAAAATGCATGAAGGACAAGAGGGTGATACATTCTCAGATGATTCCCTCGGTGAGTCGACTCGGTCTTTGCTATCTCCAGTGTATGGCAATTCAGGTCGATTTGAAGAACCGGAATTGTCCGAGGGTTCCTTGAGCGATGACGACAAAACAGACCACAAAAAGGACTACAGCTTTGAATTTGGAGGAACAACCAGCACTCCTAAGAGCAAGACCAAGGTATCAAGAAGCTACACCCCTCCAACTAGTTCATCATTTTCAGGACTAAAAAAATCCGCCAGTAAATCCTCAAGGTCGGCCTCGAGATCAAACGCCAAAGTCAGTAAAACAAGTAGCTCAAAGACCGTCGAGAACAAAGGCGACTGTCTCTCTCCGTGGGAAACCTGGCTTATTAAAAAGGCTGCAGAAGATCGCGAAAAAACGAAGGCGAAAAGCCTTGAAAAGAAGAAGACTCACGAAGAAAAAGAGAAACAGGAGAGGGAAAGGGAAGAACTGCTGAGAGTTGCAAGTGAGAAATATGTCGAATGGTTGGAAATCAAAAATAAGTCCATTACAGAGGAGAGGAGAATAAAACATAGAGAGGAACGCCTTGAACAGGAGAAGAAAGAAAACATGAACCGTATTACTCAAGAAAAAGCAGCAATCAAATTCAACAACTGGCTTCAGGAGAAGAAGACAAAACAATACGAAAAGAAATTGAAGGAGGAAGAGGATGCAAGAATGAAAAAGGATCAAGAAGTTACCAGGAAAATGAACAATGAAGAAGCTTATAGTAAATGGATTGCAGCAGCTAAAGAAAAAGCCAAACCCGTGCATAACAGCTTTGGTTACACAGGAGGAATGTTAACGGGGTATTATGAATGGGGTTCATATCCAGCACCTAGTTATTGTAATCCTATTCCATGGGTACCTCCTAAAATAAAAAGAGACAGTAACAGACGGAAGGGCAAGGTGGAAATGCTGCCTGCATCCCCACCACTTCTCTTTAGAGACATTGACAACAGACCAGCAAGGCAGAAGAAAAAATAATTTTGGCAATTTTTGATTTGTATTTTATAAGTTAACCTCACATATGGGTAGTTATACCCTCAGCTATTTCAAAAACACTTCAATTTTTC